TAGGACCTGCCACGAAGCTAACAGAGCAAAGCTGGCCCATACTTCAGTTCCTGAGGCTTCTGCTCAAGGTAAAAATACCTTTGGGGTAGAAAGAGCTATGGCCCTCAGTGGCAGCAGACCTTGGTCAGCGCTGTGACGGTGGTGCAGCCACAGTGGAACAAGGTCTGAGACCAACCGTGGCCCTGGGGTCCAGAAAAAATGGTCCGATGGAAAAAAAAATGGACAAGGATGTAAAAGGCAGCACACAGGGGGCTTCCTTCGTGGCTCAGTGGTTGAGAGTCCGCCTGCCGATGCAGGGGACACGGGCTCGTGCCCTGGTCCGGGAAGATCCCACATGCCGCGGAGTGGCTGGGCCCATGAGCCATGGCCGCTGAGCCTGCGCGTCCGGAGCCTGTGCTCCGCAACGAGAGAGGCCACAACAGTGAGGGGCCCGTGTATCACAAAAACAAAAACAAAAAAAAACGGCAGCACACAGATAAAATACAAATGCCCAATAAGCACTGAAAAGCCATCTAAGGGTCAGACAAACCTGGCTTCTCCTTCCTAGCTATGTGACTTTGCCTAAAAAACCTGAGCGTCAGCCTTCTTAGCTATGATAATGGGAATAATCACGGCTGCTACCTCCTGGGATTGCTATGAAGATTAAATGTGAAACTCAAAGGCTGAAAACAGTCTGGCGTTTCAATAAATATTCCTTCTGTTCCCTGAAACGCAAACTCCAGTTTTTCTCAGGACTTGTACTGGCCCAGGAAAGCAGAGGGTGAACGGTGACAGTAAAGAAATAGGGTTTGGTAAAGAATGGAGTTTGGGTCTCCCTCTGAACAAGGTGGCCCAGGAATGAGTAGAAACATCATCCAATTTGGAACAATAGTAATCCTAAGGGCAACTGATGACGTCCGGAAGGACGAAAACTTGCCCTCAAATATCACGCAGTTGCATACAGCTTCCTGGCACTTTCCCTGTAGTCGAGAGGGCCACAGACAAGGTCAGAGGCCACACCTGGATATCGCTGCTTGTCTTTGGGCTGCTGTGTGGGAGCCTAAGAGTTGGCTGTCTGCTTTTTGCAACCTTCACTTAGAGCAGCTTTCGCTAAGCATGTGGTCTCCATCCCCTTTGTGAACGGTTCCTGTACAAGTTCAGAGGCAGCAGATCCCACACAGTTCCTGGGGCCCTCTGCTCAGCAGGCTATAAAACACTATTGCTCTCGGCAAGCCCTGGTCATCAGCAATAATGAGACGGCTTTGAAACTGCCACTCTGAAACCCTAAACCGGGCCCAGACCCGTGTGCTGGGCCAAGCGCTTGGGAAAGGTTGGCCAAGGTTTGCAAACTCTAGACGGGGTTTGGAGGGAGCTTTCTCAGCCTGGGTTTCTTTAGGGCCTGAGCCTGCTTCAGCAGATGCTGGTCTGGGTGGTATTCGAACTGGCTGATTTACTGAGTTTGGGCAGAAAAAAGGCAAAGCCTGGGGCTGTGAGCAGTTTTCACTTTGAGGTTTTTTGCGAAAGTGATTGAAGCCTGAGTTTCACCTCCTGGAGGGAATTCTAGCCCTCTCTCCCCAGCCTCATTCCCATAAGGCTCATCTATTTCTTTCACCCACTGCCCCAACCTTCCAAGACACAGGAAGCGAGTGAACTGAGGTACCTCGGGCAGAGTGGCTTTTCAATTATTTGGACATGGAAACCTCAGAAGAGAATGGTTTTCATTTCAGTAGAGTTTTTCAAGTCAGGCTCATGATGGTACAGGTCAGTACTCCAAAAGATAGTTTTAGGATTTTCCATCTTACTTTGAACAAAACTTGATAAATCAGATCTGGGTTGAAAAACTGCAAGTATACCTTGTCACCTGTTAGTCTCTGGGTCCAAGCAGTGGGATGAAGGGCTTAGTATGGTCCCATTAGCAAAGTCCCTAGAAAGGAACCCGTGGTGGCCCCCTTTATGCCACACCCCGTGTGTGTGAGTGTATGTAACTTCACAGACGGAGTGCCAGTCAGGGTCCCAGCAGGAAGCAGGCGGCACATTTAAGTGGAGATTGAAAGAAGGATAGTGATGGGACCATTTTCAGAGGTGTGGGGAGGGGAAACTAAAAGGGGTGCTGAGGGAGCACCCAGGCTAATACCAGCGGAGAACCAGAAGGGCTAAAGGGGTGACGGAGAGAGCCATGACTGGCTGCCTGATGAGCTGTGGCCTCTGGTAGAGGAAGCAGCTGTGGTCAGAAGGGAGCTGGGGCATGACTACTCCCCCTTCCCTTGATCCCCTGCTGGTGCCCCGTCATGGCTGAGCCAATCAGCAGCGAAAGGGCAGGAGCCCATGTGAGTCGTCTGCACCTATGAATACAGTCTGTAAAGTTCCCCTTCCCTGGGCACAAAGGAAGGTGAAGGAGTCCCCAGGCAGTTCTGCCTGACGATCAGCTAGAGAGGTCTGAAAACAAGTGGACTCCCAGGCTGCCTCTAGAAGGTTCCATTTCAGGAGACCCAGGATGAGCACAGAGAAGCTGCATCTTTCCCATGCTCTGGGTGGCTCTGCTGCTCAGCCAGGAGGGATAACCCCTTCTTGATTCACAGGGATGTTCTTGTGAGCAAGTGTCATCACCTGGATCCCAGCTGCAGTGCGCACTGAGCCCTGACTTCATGCTCAAAGCTGGCAGTGAAGTTGATTTGTCCACTTACTCCACACGCATTTGCTGAGCACCCACTGTGTGCCAGACGCGCTGCTAGATGCTGGGGCTCTAGTGGGGGATAAAAGGATCGCCCCTTCCCTGAACAGGCTTCTCAAAGTCTCTCTCGCAATCAGAGAAATTCTATATCCTTCTACAGCAGGATGGGAACCTTTCTGTGAGATCACCTGGTATTACTAGTGGAGGGCTTTGAGCCTGTTGCTTAATCTCCCTGTGCTTCAATTTCCTCGCTTGGAATACAGACACAATACAGGTGCTTTCTACAAAGGTTATTAAAAGGACTGAGTGAAATACTATGTGTCGACCTTAGTTCAGAGCCTTGCACATCATAAGCATTCAATATGATTGTCACATTATTAATTTTACCATCATTATTTCTTAGTAGGTCTTTGTCAACCATCTCCTCATCCCGACTCCAGAACAACAAATAAATGAGAAAATTCCAGCTCCAGAGGCTCACTTTCACTACTTTTGACCACTTCCTTCAGGAAATCCTGGCCACATCTATGATGTGATAGAGTTTAATATCTACATGGCTGCCCTGTTCCTATGTTTACTCCATACGTTTCTATATAATTTTCAAGACAGGAAGGAGGTTTGTAGGAATGTGGGGAATTTGGAAACGGTTTGAGGGTAGTGATTTTTAGGAGCTGGAAAACAGGACTAATGGGGAAAGACGAAAGGAAGTACAATTATTAATTTGGAGAAGAGATGGCAGAGGGGATAGGGAAGCCATCCTCTGAGACAAAAGATTATTAAAGAGAGAATAGCAAACGATGCTTCTTTAGAAAAGACAGAACAAGTGGAAAGCAGAGAGTGTGGCAAGAGGGATTTCAGTTCTGCCTCAGGATCATTTCCTGGCAGAGATGGTTATGAGCTCCAGAATGGGCTGTGAACCCCTTCACTGGTTCAGTAATACAAAGGATTTGCACGGTGATCTCTGCAGTCACCCCCTGATGGGATCACATTTAAATAGACAAAGAGGTGGAAAGGCAGGACTGGGGGCCCACCCCAGCTCAGACACTAAAAACCAGTGTGGTGACCCCCGGCCTCTGAGGCTTCCAGTCTTCTCGTCTGCAAGGGAAGGTTTGGGACTGTGCCTGATACCCCAGATCTTCTGTGCAAGCCCCGAGGCCCAACTGATGTTTCCAATCACTGCGGACTCCCCATGTGGTGAACACCTTGCTGGCTGGCACACCTTCTGAAATGCTGAATTCCACTTTGAAGATGAAGAGTCTTTCTTGACTGGTCAGTTGAAAATTCATCATACCCGCATATGGAAATTGTGCGTGGCTCTAGACGTTTTTTTGGCTCGAAAATGATTTCACTTTGCAGTATTTCACAGCGTTTTCTACCTCCAGATCAGTAAGAAAGGACAACACACTGCCTCAGGTGGGAGGGCCCACCAGGTATCATCAGCGAGGGCCTCCTGTGGGCCAGGTGTTTTGTCAGGTTGCAGGATGAGTCTCTCCTTTGCCCTTTTCCTCTTCCGTGGTCTGTACACACAAGGCTGGTGTAAGGTAAGGAGACAGACACTCTTTTAGCAAAGTACTGGTATAGAAGATGCGCTGTGAATCTGGGCTCAGTGAAAGTCCTGCCTGTCTCACAGGTTCTGCACTGAGAGCCCTGCCTGACCTCCCCATCCTGGCTGACCCAGGGTTGTACTTGCCCAAATCACCCAGGAAGAAACTTGACCTAGCTGAAGGAGTAACAGGGAAGAAAAGAAGGAAGTTCGGGGAAGGGATGAAAAAGGGAATAAGTGCCCAGAAGGCTGAGAGAGAGACAAGGAAGAGGGTGGGAGGTCCAAATGCAGGAGGCTCCCCTGCTACCATTAAGGAATACAGCTTTGTGGGCTCCCTAAGGATTGAGAACTGAGAACCCCAAACCAAAAGAAACTGGAGAAGGTGAAACTAGCAGTTTGTACTAAGAAATGCTCCTGAATACTTAAACTCCCTTTGTGGTGCCTATAGCACTCGCAATGTCCAATTTGAACCGACAATTAAATGTTTTTTTAAAGCATTCTTCTAGAGCAGGAGTTGGCAGTCTTTTCCGTAAAGAGCCAGATAGTCAATATCTCAGGCTTTGAGGGCATGTTGCAGCTACTTGACACACAGACCACACATAAACAAATGGGCGTGGCTCTGTTCCAATAAAACTTAACTGACAAAACAGGCAGCTGGCTAGAGTGGGCCCGAAGGCCACAGACTGCCAGCCGGGTCCTAGTCGAGGGCTTCTCCAATCTTGAAGTGATACAAATAGATCACTCAGGGAATCGCGTTAAAATATAGATCCTGATTCAGGGGGTCTGTGCTTGAACATACTCCCAGGTGCTGCTGACCAGCGGATCACACTTCAGGAGCAGAAGCCCGGAAGTCTTAAACTGTGGCGGCAACAGGAACCAGCGGTGAGTATGATTTGCTTGAGGGAGGTGCCTGTGCACACGGCCGAGAGCTAGGGACCGTGGGACCTGCAACGAGCTTGCCTGTCAGCAGGCAGCATCCCGCCACAGGTCCTGCTGAGTTATCGCTCTCTGGGGATACCATCCGTGTGCCCAGACATTTCGATGTGTCAAGAGGATGTGGAAGTATGGTTTTTATAAGAAAACTCTATTGATTTTGAAAGGTTTTGAAGCTCCCGACTGTTATGGTTTTTAAAGGCTTTGGCTCAAAAGGTTTTAAAACCCTGTGTGAGCCAAATAAAACCCCTATGTGGAATGGCCCTGGCCCACAGGCTGCCAGTCTGTAATCTTGATTCTAGCTACCATGAATGCACTGGGCCTCCTTTCCACGACAGGAACATGGGACTGGGCTTATGCACATAGCATCTCTCGAGCTCAGAACCTGGAAAAGAAGGTATGCTCTTGATTTTACGTAAGAGGCTGATGGGTCTTGAAGAAGTCAGGCAACAAGGGCTGCAGTCATGCTTACGGCGGTGTGAGTTTTGAAACCACCCTCTTCAGGCAGATGAATTACCAAAACTCAGCCCCTCTGGACAGACTAATTACACAAAGCCCTTTTTCTGCAGGGCAGAAACTCCACACCTGTAGGGGGTGACCGGCCAAGCAACTTTCCCAAAGTCCCTGGGTTTTGAATCCAGGTATGAAGCTGGTATTTGAATCCAGGCCTTGCAGACCCCAAATTCCATGCTCCTTCCACCACCACACACTGACTCTAGTTTTGATGGATATTTGCGAGTGAAAAAGGTCAGCCTATCATCTCCATCTCCCCGTAAGCCACATTTGTAAGACACAGGCACAGCCTATGTGATAGTTTTATCTGAAATATTTACAGGTGGAAAGGATTAAAGCAAGTGATGGACTATTGAAGGTTAATGCCATCTTTTAATATGGAAAAACTACTCTCTCCACAAGAAATATACTTGTGGGATAATCTTGAGATATGTGTGTGCGTGCTCAAAATGTCAGCCAGAGTTTCATTAATTTCAGCCTCCCCCTAGAACACTACGTTATGGTTCTGAGGCTGTGTGTTAGGACGCTGACACAGGTGGGACCCAGGGCGCCCAGCCCTCGGGGGTAAATTTATGGTACGATGTGTGAGGAATCCATCATGCAATTTGGCCCATGCCCCCGGCTTCTTAATCAGAGATGGGAGATGCAAGACAAACATTGCCTCCATGGCTTTGGGTGCTGTGTCTCAGCTTCAAGCTTTGATCCATCAGGACAAACATTTCTACCAGGCGGGCTAATTAATAAGATTGCTTAACACCCAGCCTCTCAGAACACAGAGAAGTGCGTTGCCCTCAGCTTCTCCTGGGCTGCTATTTAACAATTCTCTAGGCTAAAGGATCATGCCGTAGAGTTTTTAGGCAAGCAAAGGGCCTTGTGAAGGTGTCGAAGACATAGCCTCATTTGTTCTGGCCTAGTTGTGAAAGATCATGCTCACAACTGAACCAGAGCCAGTTTCTAAAGATGACGGGCCCAGCAATTCCGTCATGGGTGTCTGCTGTATGAGCCCATTTTAAGGGCTCATTCTCCTCCCAGCGTAGCACAGAGATTATGAGGCAGCCTCTAGAGGCAGCTGGCCTTGGATTCCACTCCCAGCTGCTCCAATTTCAAGCTGAGTAACTTGGGGAATTACATAAGCGTTACTTTCTTCACCCGTAATGTGGGGCCAGTATTACTTCCCACTTTGCAGCACTGTCGGGAGGTCAGAGATACTGTGTTGACACTACCCAGCTTTGTAACTGGCATTCCGTAGACCGGTGCTGGGCTGTAGCCTGTGTTTGCAGGTTTCCCTTCCTGTGATTTTGCCCCTGTGCGATGTTCTGGATAAAGCATCAGTTTTGGGGCAGCTGGACCCAAAGGTTTGCGTTTCTTCTCTGCTCCTTACCAGCTGTGTAATTTTGGTTTAAGTCTTTAATCTTACAAAAGATTTTTTTCATCAGTAACATGGACATAATAATAGTACTTGCCTTGGAGAGCTGTGGTTAAGATTGAAACGGGCAGTTGTACATAAAATGCTTCTATTACAGTGCCTGGCATATACTGAGCACTCTATACATGTTTGCTATAAATATTAAGTAGGATAAACACTTTGGAATCTGCAAAAGCTTTGTCTACATGTGGAAGAGGATATTGCTACCCCTCCTCCAAAATATAGCAAGGAAATCCAGAAAGTCCAATCAACTTAGGGAACTTTTATTTTTCAACTCTGAGATTATGCCAAATGCAGACTTGTTTTCACTTATTGGGAAAATAACTTTCGAGGTTGTGAAAAAAACAATAACTACAGCCCTGTTCTTTCTGAAATAAATACATGGGCCCAATATTGGGGAAATGCATAAACCCCAATCAGAGTACTGTTTTCTGAGAAACTGTCATGTGTGGAACACAGACCCGGATCCAGGATGAGTGGACGCTGAGTCCAATTACCCTGCAAGGCTACTTTCATAGTCCTGTGTCTGAAGCAGGAGAAGCCTCAAGCTCATTGAAGATGAATGAATAACCAGAGTCTCAGGGCTCAGAAGTGACTGAGTCTGAACTTGAGCCATCTCACTCCAAATCTCCATGTTCATCACTGCCATCAGGGCTGCCCCTGGGTAGCCCCTGCATACATGTTATCTCTTTTGAGCTTCTCAGCAGGTGTTCATGTCTGTTTCCTGGAGGGGGAAACTGAGGCTCAGAGAGGTTGTGGAACGCAGCTAGGGGCAGAGCTGAGACCCACACCTCTTAACCACACCCGTCTTGCTCTAAGCTCAGAACCTGTATGGCTTCCCTGGCTGGCAGAACCTGCCCACGGGCATGCCTAGGGTGATGGAGGAGAGCTAAGTCTATCCAAGAGTCCCTTAAAGAAGTTACATTTTCCCATTATTGCTGTCTGCTGGCAATCCTTGTCACCCTGAGAAGAGATCCAGAGACTGACAAGTAGGCTGCGTTGTTGCCCTAAGTAAACCACGGAGAGCAGATTTCCCTGATGCCGAGACAGTTAGCTGGGTCTGTGAGAACATATTTCTCACTGTAAAGCAAACAAGCCGACTGGCAGAGCACTGTAGGGAAAATGACATCACTGCAGAATTTTAGGGCTAATCATTTAGCTGGATTAGCCCCAAAGTGCTGTGTCTAAAATCAGCATCCCTGCCTCTTTATGTACTCCAGATGAAACGCATTAGCAGAAATATGGCAAGGGACATTCACAATACTCGGTTCTACACTCTCAGCAGTTTTTGCAAATCTGCAATTAGTCTAAAGGGCCTGGGTAAATTAGGCCTCTTGATAAATGAAGCACCTAGACAGGCCTCAGATTTATTGGATCCCGCTGTCCCGCTGTCCAGAGCCCTTGTCAGCTCCTTGCCGAGCGGGGACTGTGCAGGGGGAAAGGAAGGAAAGGGAGCCAATTCAGACCTAGAATTGCCCCCCAAATCTTGGAATAAACTGGGCTTGAGGCTGCCACTTCTTTGGCCTTAAAAATTTCTGCTAGGAACGTACGCAGTAGGTGAAGTAGGAAGCCTTTGCCAGGAAGTTCAGGAGGCCCGGGCAGAAGACAGGAGACAGGACAGGTGGGGGGGGCAGTGTCTGTGGGTGATGTGGTTTTGCTACAGCCAGGCGGGAAGGGGTCACAAGAGGCCTGTAAGTTTCACCAGCTCCTTGTCCCACTCTGGGCCACCCAGCGTCCTCCTGATTCTGGGACTTGGTGGCCATGGGTACTGATGGGCACCACCAGGGCTCACTCTTTCTCTGGGCTCTGGTTCTTAACCCATTACTTCCCCAAGTGCAGTTTTCCACATGCTTCTCACGACAGACCACACGGGTGTTTTAACTACACAGATTCCAGAAAAGAACCCCCAACCCCAAAGGGGGAGTGTTGGTAATGCCTTAAACCAAACATCCAGGGACCAAAAGGCTGTCAGTGGCTGTGATGCAGATAAAGGGGACATATAGGGAGGGGAAAGCACGCGCTTATTATCCTGATTTATGTCTCCAAATCGTAGGAAGCGATTCCCAGCCATATTAGGATGACCCCTGCTAACTTTGCTGCTGCTGCCATTGTAGCTGTGGGTGCTGAGGTTGGCTGAACCGGGCCGGCAGAGGGGCCCAGCAGATGTGCAGATGTTTTGGGGGGTGGCAACAGTTATATTTTGCTAAGTTTCTCTGATTTATTTATTTTTACACTTTCTTTCCTGATTACTAGAGTAATGCATGTTTTGGGGTGGAGGTAGATAGTCTGAATTTTTTAATTTAAAAAGTAGTAAAGTAGGGGCTTCCCTGGTGGCACAGTGGTTAAGAAACCACCTGCCAGTGCAGGGGACATGGGTTTGAGCCCTGGTCTGGGAAGATCCCACGTGCGGGGGAGCAACTAAACCCGTGTGCCACAACTACTGAGCCTGCGCTCTAGAGCCCACGAGCCACAACTACTGCACCCACGTGCCACAACTGCTGAGGCCGCACGCCTAGAGCCTGTGCTCCACAACAAGACAAGCCACCGCAATGAGAAACCCGCGGACCGCAACGAAGAGTAGCCCCCGCTCGCCGCAACTAGAGAAAGTCCGTGTGCAGCAACAAAGACCCAATGCCACCAAAAAGAATAAATTAAAAAAAAAAAAAGTAGTGAAGTAATAAAGGCTCATGTAGATCATTTAAAGCTGAGGGGTGTGTGTGTGTATCTGTCTGTCTGTCGGTCTGTCTCCCCCTATCTCTTTGTTACAATGTCAGGATCTCTCTCTCTCTCTCTCTCTCTCTCTGTCTGTCCCCCTCCTCTCAACAACCCTCCAGGCATGCTGTGGCCCTCTGGCCCCCTAACACTGTCCACCCAACTGAATGCTTTGTCACTCAACTCCTAGCAGCCCAGCCAGCCAGGCTGACAGCCTAGAGGAGTCAGGAGCACCCCAGAGGGTGAGCTTTCCCAAACCCCGTTCTCCCAGAGGCAGCGGCGAGTGGTACCTAACCGACACGCCGCCTGCAGCCTGCTGTGATTCAGTCTCTGGTCTGCAGATCAGCTGGGCGATGCTCCTGTCAGCCCACATTGATTTTCCTGTAGATTTCATTACCTCCAATCACAAAGGAAACTGTGCTGCTCTCCTGGAGTGTCAGGGCAAAATGAATAGCAAACATTTTCCTGCAGGCACCTTAGCTCTCCCGTCAAAGGCAGGCCACTGTCCATGCCCCACCCCTTCCCCAAACCTCTCCTCTCCTACTCAGTGAAAAAGTATCCGGGCTGAGGTGGGGCATCGAATCCAACTTGGAGTGTTCAGGATGCCCAATTATGCTGCAGTCAGATCCTTCTGGGACTTAAGACCTTCTAAATTATGGAATTAAGAGGGTTTAGAGGGGGGAAAGAAAGAGCTGGTGACACCAGATGTGTTCAGAATTTAGAATGGGCTTTCTCATATATTAAAAAAGACCTTTTGAATATCATCAAAGAGACTGAGCAATTTTTATTCCTTTTAAAAGTTGCTTTAAGTACTGATGGGGGTCTCTGCTCTCTGGCGCACGCACGCGCATGTGTATGTGGCTGCACGCGTGTGCACGTGTGTCACAAGGGCTTCTCTTACTATGTGTTTGGTTGGTGCCAGGTCCACCTTCCGAAACCCTGGTGTGTGGGGAAAGCTGCGCTCGTGTGGGCAGCTTTGGCACAGAGTCCTGGCACTGTGGATGAAGAGAGGCGTCAGCACTTTTCAAACAACAAACTAGCAGCAGAAGGTAGGCGCCAATCTCCGAAGTGGGCTTTGTGGGAGAGGTGAGGTCTGTTCTTTCTAACAACCAGCCGGTAAAGACTGGACCAGGGAAAGGCACCAGACACTTGAAAAGTAAGATGGCCTCTTCTCACTAGGGGCACTGGAGTGGCCACATAAGCACGCATCTCCACCCATCTGAGCATGGGTTTCTGTGTGTCCATGCGAGCGCACTGCAATAAGAGCAACAGTTTTACCTGATAACTTTAGCCAGTATTTATTAAGCAAGTACCATGTGCCAGACACGGGGTGAGTTCTCTATCACCTACCTATTCTCCCATTTATCTTGTAACTTTAATCCTCACTATACGGGGAGCAGTATCATCCCTGTTTTACTGATCAGAAACAGAGACTTAGAGAGTGTATGTGATTCTCCAAAGTGTTATGGGTTGAATTGTGTCCCTCCCCAAAATGCTGAAGTCCTAACCCCCAGGACATGCGAATGTGACCTTATATGGAAATAGGGTCTTTGCAGATGCTCAAGTTAAGATGAAGTCAGTAGGACTGGTATCGTTATAAAAAGGGGAATTTGGAGTGGAGAGAAGACCATATGAAGACACAGGGAGAAGACAGCCACGATTGCCAATAAACCACCAGAAGCTAGGAGAGAGGCCTGGACAGATTCTTCCCTCACAGTTCTGGGAAGAACTAACCCTACTGACCCTTGGTCTCAGAATTTTAGCTTCCAGAACTGTGAGACAATAAATTTATGTTGTTCATGCCATCCAGCTGTGGTACTTTGTTATGGCAGCCCCAAGAAATGCATATAGAAGGTCCACAGCCAGTTACTGGTATAGGCAGGTGTGTATCAGGCCATGCCTGTCCCGGTTGTTACACAGCCTAGGCTGCACACTGCCTTTTCCCAGGAGGAAGTACACTGTGCCTACACTTGCTCAAGTGGGCCTTGAATCTTCTGTAGTTGATACACTGGGGTGGTTGAGGGCAGAGGCTGAAGGGAGAATTTATTATGCATCTAGTGTCTTTTATATACTTTAGCTTAAGAAATCTAAAAACCTGCTAGTTTGATAATTTATATAAGGGATGTTGAAATGCTTATATCCTTTGATCTACTTCTAGAAATCTATTCAAATAAAATAGTAACAAATACAGAGACATATTTATGTAGGACTATTGATCACAGTACTATTTATGTAACAGGTAGCAATGCCCTAAATCTCAAAAAAGTATGAAATGCCATATTTATTTTTCAAAGTAAAATTAAATCTGGTTGAAGCCAATACTAGCCAAGGGTGATGAGCAGAGCTTTCAGTTCCTCCATCTCAAGCTGGGTTTGAGGACCCTGGCAGAGCCTCTTCAGTCCCATAGACGGTCATGCAGCAGGCCCCCCTCTGAGGTCACCCAGAGCACCGGGCTCAGATGGGACCACAGCTCCATGATGGGTCCGACCCTTATTTCTCTTCCCAGTCTTGGGGACCCACCAACTAGGGAGAAGCCAGTCTTTTTTCAACCTCTGCAGTTCCCAGCCTTCAGCCCTACCCTTGGACAGGGCCTCCACCTTTGAAACACAAAGGGTCACACTCTCCTTCAAAGTCTTTACCTTCCATCTGGGAGCAAAGAGAACCCTTTAGACATACCTTGTTTCCGTCTGTATCTCCGTCTCTTTCTCTTTCTTTCTCTCCCTTGGGCGGGTATAGGCTCAGCAGATGTTTCACTTTTCTTCCATGTGACAAGAAAAAAAAAAAAAGAACAGACACAAAACAAGAAGACAGCACTTAATTTTTAAATAACAAATCTCTATCGTAACGGCAATACCTAAATGCCCAATAATACAGGCTGGTTAACATCAATTATGATCCACACACACGTTAGATGAAGACATGAAAATTTTAGTTAACAATAATAGGAGAAAAGATTTAAGTTGTAATGTGAATGAAAAAGCAGAATATTTGGTTATTTTTCTATTGCTACACAGCAAATTACTACAAATGTAGCCATTTAAAGCCACACCCATTTATCATTTTGTAGTTCTGTAGGTTCAGGGTCTCATGATCAAAATGAATGTGTCGGCCAGGCTAAGTTCTCATCTGGAGCTGGGGTCTTCTTTCAGTCTCATTCAACCTGTTTGCAGACTCCAGTTCCTTGTGGTTGTAGGACCAAGGTCCCTGTCTCCTTATTGGATGTCAGTGGGGACTGCTCTTAACTTCTGGAACCTTCCAGAATTCCTGACCCTGTGGTCCTATCTTCAAAGCCACCAAGAGAGAATCTCCCTCCCTTCAAATCCCTCTCATGCTTCATATCTCTGTGTCGAAAAAAAGCCCAGTCTCTTTTAAAGTTTACCTGACTGGGTCAGACTCACCTGGGATAATCTCCTTTTCTTAAAGTCCACTGTAACGTAACCTAGCCATGGGAGTAATACTCGTCATTTTCAAAGCTTCCCTCCTCCCCATACTCAAGACGGAAGAGATTAATCAAGGGTGTAGGGCACTGGGGAGTCATCTTAGAATTCTGTCTAACACAGATATCAACAGTATACACAGTAAGATCTCAGCCATGCAACATTTACATGCTCAGAAAAACACTAGTGTGATATAAACCTCAATGTTAATAAGATCTTTCTGTGAGGTAGGATTATGGATGCCTCTATTTTCTTCTTTATACTTTTCTGTATTTTCCAAGCATTTTGTAATGAGCACATATTAGTTTTATAATGAGAGAAAAAAACTCACATTTTTAAGAAAAACAATCTAGCCTCAAACTAGGATAGTAACGCATGACTATGTGTGGCATTGTGTGTGTGTAGCTGAGTGGTTTTCTCATTCGTTTGTTCTTTCATTCGTTCACTGGCCAATGGATGAACGTGCAGGCAGACTGCCTCTTCCTATAGGACTATGTGGTGACGGGGACCCTGTGTCCAGAATCTCCCTGGAATAGTTTCATACTTTTCAACAAAAAGATTCCAAAATGCAAGTGGCATTCATCTTCGTAATTATCTTGGGAAAAAATATGGAAGGCAAGTTACTCGAATTGTTGAGAAATACTTTGCAATTTCTATTTTCCCACCACTACCCCAACAGCTTGATAATGTTGAGGTTTTGAAATTTCCCATTGTCTCTGTTAGCAGAAAATACCAGCTTCTCATAAATAACCAAAATGAAGCAACAGAACTCTTGGCTCAAAATCACTTTTCAGCCTGACATGTCAGAAGGAGCCTGATGCCAAAATTCTCTCTCAAAACAGAAGTGTGGCCCTGGGAGACCCAGTAACACAAATGAACCAGAAACCCTTATGGTGGGAACCCCCTCCACTAACATTAGAAAGAGGAATTACCCAAGGAGGCTAATCTCAGCATGTGGCAATGTCAACAGGGGCACACTGACTGGCTATCGTGGGGCATTGTGTGCCGGGAAGGGCTCAGTTCAGAGATGAAAAATGTGAAATCAATGGGGCTGTACAGAAAAACCAGGCAAGGCTGCCTGGACCAAAGGTGACGGTGGCCTGACTTGCCTTTGAGGCTCTCTCACCTCCTTCACCTCTGCCATGTCCCTCCCCAGCATCCTACCCACTCAGCGTCAGCGAAGATCATTCGGGTGTTGGTTTTGATGTGGATACTCTCAGGGGTGTTTGCATTGTAATCAGGGGGTATGAAAGGTGCAAAAGCCCCGAGGACAGTAAAGAAGGGTTTGTTAGCTGTGGAAGGACAAATAAGGAGGTTACTTTTGCTCAAGGGCTCCACCTCATTGGGTGGTCACCTCCAAAGCCAACTTTAAACACTCTGCATGATTACTGCATGTTTTGTTTTGTTTTGTTTTTTTCTTGCAGTACGCGGGCCTCTCACTGTTGTGGCCTCTCCCGTTGCAGAGCACAGGCTCCGGACGCGCAGGCTCAGCGGCCATGGCTCACGGGCCCAGCCGCTCCGCGGCATGTGGGATCTTCCCGGACCGGGGCACGAACCCGTGTCCCCTGCATCGGCAGGCGGACTCTCAACCACTGCGCCACCAGAGAAGCCCTACTGCGTGTTTTTGTACAGTGTTGACCTGGCTCAGGAACAGGCCCCAAGAACTCTAGTCTGCCGGCCTTAAATGGGTGTGTGCATGGCCAGAGGAAGTTCTCTGAAGCACTCCTGAAGAAGGAGAAAGAACCTCTTCTCCCTGAGGTTCGGTATGGTCAGGCAAAGCTGAAATCCTGTCAATTTTAAGTTTTAAAAATTCATCAGTTTTTTATACATACAAACTTACAAATTATTAAGCCTAAGAAATAAATGGCTAATCATGAAACTGCTACGCAACTAAAGATAACGTTATCGCCCCCCACCCCATCTCCACGCTCTTCTTTCTGCTGGCTCCTTCCCTTCCCACCCACCCCTACACTTAGCAAGTAACCACTAGCACTATCTAAACGTTGCTTTTATTATTTTTTTTAAAAAACATTCCTTATTCCTACTTTTTTCATTAGCGTTTGACCATACATCTACTAACCACATGCTATTTAGTTTTGCTTGTTTTCGGAACTCTATATAAGTGCTATCACAATTATATTGTTTTGTAACCAGCTGCTTTTATTCAACATTATGTGTTTGTGATTCAGCCATTTTTAGGCCTATAGCTTTGGTTCATTCATACTCATTCCATTATATGAACATACCTGAATCTAATCATCTATTCTCTTATTGATGGAGCAGCTTTACTTTTTAAATTGGTTTTAAACATGCTTTCACCATAGGATTTAGGGTGGTGTTTATTCAAATAGGGATAAAGACAAGGTGTGTTTAACAGATAGGACTGGGTGATGTGGTAGAAGGAAGAAACATTGCCAGGGTAAACCAGGTACTGGTTCCAACTCTCCCAAAAGTTTCTTTGTGCATATTATTTCACCATCCTCAGAAACACTGTTTCTACAAAATAAAGGAGTTGGAAAAACTTCAGGATTCCCTCCAAAGCTACCCTTTAATTCATTGAGGTATTCACTCACTTAACACATAGCACCTGTCACTTGCCCCCCACTGCTGGAGACGAAATGGGAAATGAAACAGATATGGTCTTTGCCATCACAGAACTTAGACTCAGGAGATAAGACAGAAAACAAGAATAACCCAAATTAAGTTGTTTTAAAAATTATACACCATGGAAAGTACTATACTGGGAACATACGGGGTGATGATACAGAGTTCCAGATGCATCTACTTTAGATAGAATGGTTGGGAAAGGCCTCCCGGAGAATGATACTTAAGCTTCAGAGGAACTAGCCATCCACAGTCAGGAGGAAGAAAATTCCAGACTAAGGGAAGTACATGTGCAAAAACCCCGAGGAGAGCAAGAACTTCACGTGTTTCAGAACCTGCAGGATCGGTGTGAGAGGAAGCATGGCTCCCGGTGAGCCCCGGACACATCTGGGAGGGGTTCTGTGGGCCGTGGTAAGGGTTTTGGATTTTATCCTATTTGCAAAGCAAAAGTGTGAAAGAGTTTTTAAACAGCTTGACCATATCTGTGTTTTTTAAAAGATTACTGTGGCTGGTTTTAAGAAAATGGGTGGGACGGGGCTGGAGTGGAAAAAGGGCCCTAGTGGGAGGCGACAGGGGCTCAGACCACAGCTTTGGCCATGGAGATGCGGGAGAGGGGAACAGACTGTCTTCCATAATGGTTTGGAACCAAGAAGGGGGCACTGTTATAATTGGCGTTTAATGAGAAACACAGTCAGCATTGCGGATCAAAGGGGAAATAATCAGACCCCAGTTCACTTCACTAGGGATGAGAAAGTTCAGAAAAGAGTGGGCTGGGCAGATAAGAAAGCTGTATTCCTTTAGTAACTGTACAGTATGGATCCTCTTTGTATCTCCTTCCCTTTCCCCCCTCCTCCCTCCTCCCCTCCTCCCCTCCCTCCCTCTCTTCTATTTCCTAATTGTTCTAGCTGCGCAGCATCTTTAAAAATCTGTTTGAAGAGTGGAGCAGACAAGAACCACCCTCCCCCGGTTTCCAGAGGAGAGAGGACACCCCTGCCCCCCAGCCCTCCGCTCCATCCACTCCTTCCAATCCCTCCTCGCTACAAGTGCCTGAACACTGTGATGTCACACTGCAACCCTGGCTTAGGCTTTCTATCTCCCTCACAATAGACTGATCCTTTCAAGTACCTGAAAGGTGTCCGGCCCTGTCGGGAGCAGAGTTCGCCGGCGCTAGAGGAGACGGGAAGAGGTGTAGGATTCATGAGTAGTGACTGGCTGAAGTGCGAAGTATTCTGGACGCTGATTGGCTGTGCCAATCCATTCACGGGAAGGCGCTTGTGGCGCCAGCAAAAAGTAGATCTACGAGAAGACAGGTAATGGCGTAGGATTCGTGAGCACTGATTGGCTGAAGCGAGAAGCTTTCTGGACGCTGACTGGGTCCGTCATTCCCCGGAAGGCGTTTGTGGCGCCCCGGCAAGGCAGATCTAGTGCCGTGGCCCCAACAGGGTCCTGAGGGGACGGGTAAACCCACCAGGCCCGAAACTTCTGGCGCCCTTTCGTGAAGGAGTCGTGATTTATTTTAAAAAAGTAAAAATAAAGTACCGTAAAACATGACCGAATGGGGACTATCGGGGGCTGTTTAGGGTGCTTTAAAATTCTTTAATTTGCTGTACCACAATAACTTGCACTTGAATACAAGCAACCTCGCGTCTTAATAGCCAGACAATAAAGAGTTATTTATAGGAGGCGGTGTGCAGGCCCGAGCCTTCCAGGTGTGCCCCAGATTTGAAGCAAGCACTCGGAGACATCTGCGGGACGGCGCTGCCTGATGCAGCCCAAACAAGCCCTTCGACTCTGCTGCCATTTTGCGGCTCCAGGGCTGCACCGGCCCCGGGCTCCCTGCTCTGCACAGCACGCCCGGCGCGCTGATTTATTTCAGTATTACGTTTAATTGTTTCCTTCTTGTTGAAGCCTTAACATGCGATGCTTGTAAATCTGACCCGAATCCTCCATATGGCGCTCTGGTTTTCCATTTTCAAATGCATTCGCCCTGGAATAATGACTGTGGTATAACTCAATTTGAGTTCTGCTGCTGGGGACTTTATTACATAATGCTTTCTAATTGACCCTCATAGTTTAATAAGACAGAACATTTCACCAGAACATTGACAAAAGTTATTAATTTTCACTTCAGTAGAGACCCATGTCCCAATTAAATCCCCCGAGAATGCCTGGCTGACTGACTGACCTCATTATGGCTAATGCTTATTAGTCCTGCAGAGAGGATAGCATCACACACTGTTAAAATGCCTAAATGAGCACATACAACCATCCAACGTGATTACAATTTACATACATGACTAATTTTACTCCCCTAATCCTTGTCTGGTGCAATGAATGTGGTGTGCTGCTGTCATACCACGAGATCAGCCATCGAGGATTTGGAAGGTGTCGTAAAAATGCCTTGCCAGTGTGCTAAGCTACACCCAGTTAAATTATATCTGCCTTTCTAGGAAACTATTTCAAGCACGTGGGCGTCTTGAAATGGGGAGACTAACTTGCGCCCATTCCTTCTTTAATATGGAACATCTAGTACCCATTTGGGTTTTTTAGCCAACTTAAAAAAAAAAAAAGAAAGAAAGAAAGAAAGAAAGAAAAAAACTATCATCAGCAGCGGCAGCAAACAATTATTCCAGCCTTCCTGCTTGGCTACCTCATACTCCCTGAAGTGGATTTTTCTTCCCTGAGTCTCGCTGTATTTGCACATTTTCTCTGAGCTTTCATTTGGAGGGAGACGGTAGGCAGGAGCTTGTAGAGTCACCACGCCTGCCTGTTTCGTCAGCTTCGATGTGAGGGCATCACAGCTGCCACCTTGCCTACCAGTGATGGGACCACCTATTCAAACTAGTTCCCCTCTTGTGGGAGAATCAGCTGGAAGGTCAGTTGGATGAAAAATGCGTATTTGCCCAGGCTGGTAAAATGGAAGGCTCAGAGTGGCAAGAAAATGAAAGTAAACCTTACTGTGTCTGAGGCTTCAGATTGTTTTTTGACCTTTCTTTTTCCTGGTCTATACAACAGTGTTTATCTTTCAGGCAGTCTGACCGTGGCTCAGCGTCTGCTTTTCCCGTGCATTGTACTCATTCCCCCTGGGCTGTGTGATTTGACACATGACAACAATCTAACAATGGAGATCAAACTTCTCCTCAGACTCTTGCAATGTGACAAGTAATGTGTATTGACACAGCAAAGTGCACTCTGGAAATATGAGTGGTTGGGCAGGCACCCGACCTTCCCGCTCAGCTAGAGATAGCTTAAATCATAGGCTTCAGTTGCCCACAAAGATAAAGCCAAAATTTAAATAATGATAACCAGCTGGAAGCTGCAATTCATTGAAATCTTTTCTCCCTTTTTTTTTCTTTTGGTATTACCATATTGAAAGCAGGGATTTGGTGGGAAAAGCAATAGTAATAATAGCAAGAGCAAAAGACAAAGGCGAAAGAAATTAAACTAAACCTCCCCAGGGAATATTTGAAAGTTCTACACATTCTGCTCAGTCCCCATTCTGTGTTTACTAAGTACCTCCATTGTATTAGACACTGTGGACGAGACACACACACACACACACACACATACCCCGGAAGTTCATGGTCTGTAGGCAATACTTTCAAAACTGAAATGCAGGTATACAGGATGATCAATTCTACTGATGACAAAGGCTTATGGGATCCCAAAGAAGGGGCGTTTAACCCACCTTTGGTGGTGGGGATGGGAGTTAGCTGGTCCAAGAAGGGCTTCCTAGAGAAGGAGTCATTTAAACTGAGCCCCAAATGATAAGTAGAACATACCTAGGTATATCAGGGAGGAGGGACTGGGCTCCAGGTAGAGAAAAATCAGTTCTTTTTCTCCTTCATTCTTTAACAAGTGGGCAT